TATTTGATTCAATAACTCCAAAGCAAAATTACCATTCTCATAACATTCAACCTAATAATTATAGAATCAATATGTAATTATTTGCAATAACATCTATTTCCAAATTTACTAATTTCGTTACACACTCTTAGCATCTAAATGGGCATCTTTAATTCTTAAATTGTAAGATTTAATCTTCTACCACTATTAAACAACAAAGTAAGAATTTAATTATCACATTTGTAGCTTATTAGTAATTTTTTTTATTATTAAAACAGTAATTGTTTTTTAATAGACTACAAAAGAAATCCTCGATTTTATAAATATATCTTATTTCTAATTTTTACAACACTCTAAATTCATATTTTTATATTTTTAATTACAATTTCAAAATCAAATTAAAATTATTAATATATTATAATACTAATGATTATAAACAATTTTCACAATAAAAAATTTTAATATTAATAACTCTAAATTTTTAGTCCATTTCTAATTTTATTCTCTTAAATAAGAATATTAGGTAAAATATTAATCTAAATCTATACTTTTTTCATTAATTTAGTTGGTGATCGATCAAAAAAAATTGATATTAAAGTCTATTTGATTGTTTTTTGTTCAAAGATGTGTTGAATGACTTAAATTATTTTATATCTGAGCCGGCCTATTTTATTCATATTCATTTCTTTTACTATAATGACTTGTTTTTCAATTACTATTATATTTTCTATTATAAACAGATAAACAATTCCTTCAAAAGTTACTCTTTGATTTTTGATAAAGGAAGGTCTAAAATTTAATTGAACTTCTTTGATTTTTTGTTTTGAAAAAAATTAATTGAAATCTATCAATATTATTAAAATAATTTCTCAAATTATGTAATCAAATTCAAGAAAGCCTACTTTTTAATTGATTTTATTAATTTCATAATTCATTTCTTAAAATTAAAGTAATTCTATTTTGAATAGTTCCTTTGCTTTATCTAACGAGTAATTTTCTCCAAAATTAGTTGTTAGAGTAGTTGTCAAGAAAAACAATTTTTCTATTATCTGGATTTATCTCCATCCTTTTAAAAATACTCATTTCGCTTTATAAATTTAAATAAAAGACATAACTATCTATAATACTACTTGTTAGTTTTCCATTTTATTTTAAAATTTTTATATCCTCTGTTGAAATTTTTTTTCTATTTCAACCAATATTCAGTTTTTTTTCATCATATTATTTATTTTTATTTTAATAATCTTTATTTAATAAATTCACATTTGTAGCATCATAATTAAGAATTTTTCTTATTGGTACGCTTAATGATTTTTAACAATTTATTTTATTTGATTCATTTTATTTATACTTTTTATTTGCAAATTCTCCTTTATATTTCGTAATGTTTGATTTTCCAATATATTCAACCTTAACAAATTAATTAAATTTTTTATTTTGCAAGTAAATTTCAATGTGCCTTCATTTATTAAAAATGTTGGATTTTTCCCTCTATCAAGTTCTAAATCATAAAGCTTTCCAGTTATGTTTTATGATTATATTTATAATTAATCATCTAATATACTTGAATTATAATAGAATTATGAATGATTAAATAATAATAAATAATCATAAGGTTAATAACCTAAATAGATGGTTTCCATTTATTATTATTTACACAAATTTTGAAATTTTGTTAAAATGGATTCTTTGTCAAAATCCATTAATTATTAAGGAGTATCAATTATTTCATTACGAGTAAATAATGGTTTGATGGGAAAATAATTGCATTATTTCGTTATATTATAATTTATTTTTTAACTAATTGTGTTATTTTCTTCATTTTTTTTAAATAATTATGTCTTGAATTGCTAATAATTGATATCAATATTTACACTTAGAATTATTAAAATTAATTTTTGGTTCTAATATTTCATCTATCAAATCTATGTTTTCTGCTGTTATATATTGAAAATAACATTATTTAATTGTTTATACTCTAAAATAAACTTTTGTTTTATCAATAATATTCATAATCTATTATTTATTAAACATTTTTTAAATTATTCATTGAAATATAAAATATGAGAATCATTACTTTATCTGTTTCTACAATTAATCACTGAAAAATTAAATATTTTTAATTATTTTATTAACAGTTATTCTTTAGTGTTCATTTTGTTCCATAAATTTTATTGTATATTTAAAAATATTAGATATTGAAATTACTTTAGATCAAATACTATAAACAGTTTAGATCAATCGGAAAATTTTCGTATTACGTTTTAATTGAATTCTCTCTAAGAACTTGCTCAATTTCAAAGTCTTTTGGCATTTAAATTATTATAAACAAAAGTTGTATCAAAAACCATCTTTAATGAGATAATCAATCATATAAATATAACAAAATGATTTGCCTAATCCAATATTTGAGGACGTTTTTCTGTTTATGAAAATACATTCCTTTACTTCTAAGTAGGAAGTTATAATTTTCATAAAAATCATAAATTATTACAATAAAAATTAACTTAAAATAATCATGTTTAACGATTCTATAAGGAGTAAAAAATCTTTAGTTTTTGAAAACAACCGAATTTCAGTTAAAATTCTTGTTAATTTGAAATGTAGAGATTTTGAATTCATGAATTATTTATTAAAAAAAACATGAAAATAATAAATTTTTTTTTATTTATTTTAAAATTAAAATATTGTTTATTTTGATGTTTTTCTTTCCAATAAAACTCTATTTTACATTTTAAAAGTATTTACATATTAGCGTACAATTATTGTTAGTTAATCAAATAATTTAGAATTTTATTTTTTCTATTTTAAGATAGAGACAAAAAATTGTTTAATTTAGGATTTTATTGTAATGAGATAAATTCAACAAGTTTACAATAATATCACCTTTTGCATAGCTTGAATATTGAAGAATATAGAATAAATAAATCACTTTAATGTGAATATAATGTATACTATAAAAATAGATACATTAGCTTTAAAACTTGCTTTATTGAGTATTTATTTTTTGTTTCCTTATGACAATTTTTGGCCAAAGGGGTTTCAAACATGATTTTTTTGCAACAATAATCAAATAATTTATTGAGAAAAAAACCATTTTGGTATCTTAAACTACTTTAAGAACCATGAACAGAAGCAGATTAAGTGGTAAAAATGAACTTAAAAGAGAAATTATCTTTACAATAGTACATTTCTCTAGTAATATCTAATCTGTATTGAATTTCTATTACTTTTATCTTGAATTAATGAAAAAAATCTCTTATTTTTATATCAATAAGTTAGTAAAAGCTACTATTCTTAAAGCATTTTTATTAATTTCTAATATTATTATTCTCCTAGTATTTTAAGCATAAAAAGAGAAGCTCGTTTCTAAAAGGATAGTTTGAGAATTTATCAGGAATCGACTTAACAACATTATTTATACAAAAAGGAAGTTTCTTTTTTTAAAGTTAATTATTTTGACAATTAAAGGAGAATGGAAGCCATAAACAAATTACAAATATTTGAATTTAATTTGTTCTTTAACAATTACGCACTTCATCTAATTTTTCTACAGTGAGTCTAGGGTTGGTCTTAGTCAGATTAAAGAGTTTAATAAGCTTCAATTTAATGG